AGCTCTTCCTCTGCTGCTCAGCTTTTGCTTGCAGTAAACAAGTTTGTTGGAAGTTTTAAGATTTGGCATGTTTGTTTGTATGCTTTCTTGACAGAATACATCTAAGCTAATGATGTTAATTTCTCCCTGTCAATTGGCTGATACTTCTGCTTGTCCACAAACTTGATATATGCCAGGCTAGAATGATACTTAATTCACATGAACTTGAAGATTAGACTAGTCTTTAATATTTTATTGTTTCAAGAGCCAAAATGTGAATTTGCAAATGAAATTACTATTTGATAAGTATAGCAGCTTCTGTTTCTCAAGGAATGAAGCTGTCCCAATTCACAAACTTATTATGATTTGGAAATCTAGTTTCAATTGCATATTTGCTTTGAGGTTTATATGTAGATAACTGAATGCTATTTGTCTGGTGAAAATGAGCATATATATCCCCAATATTTTCTTATAGCTATTGGAATACTCTATAAATCCATTAAAAGAAGACTGTACTCTCCCTTGGTCATAAGGTACGAGAGGGAACTGTTGTTCCAAGTGAACCCCATTTTGATCAAAACATAAGCGCATTCTCAAATGAGTCAAATCAGAGTCATGGCTTTTATTTCAATTCAAATCATGACAACTAACGACTGTAAAAAAATGATCTGTATCTTTTTATTTGAAATTTCATAATCCTCTAAAAGAGTAGAATAGATATTGCCCCTAAAAAGTACTTCAATAATCCCCAATGCGGATGGTAAAGACAGGGCAACAACAACTAAAAATGCCCTCCCTAACCTATAATACCTTGTAGCAATGTCACAAGATGAGGTTGGTCTTTTTGTTGACATGAAAATGTAGATAAAATGACATTTTAAGCTTGAAATAAATTATTAGAATGGTATATATTCCATATAGACGAACCCTTTCCAAAAACATAATCAAAAGATTCCTCTTGTAAGAAAACGATCCTACATAAAATATTGCTGCTGGTTGAGTGTGCATCTTGGTGGAGTTCATGGGGAGCATGCTATTTATTTATGGTGGGGCATTTCAACTGCAGTCCATATGGGAGTGCAGAATCATTTCATACATGGAGGACTTGTAGGCAACAACCAGCTATTTAGTGAGGCATGGCAAGTAATATGGTTCGCAACAATTTGAACATTATGGCCATGGAGAAATTAACAAGCTTTTGGCACTAAATGAAATAGTCTAGAAGAGCTGATTGACTGTCCAGTAGAGGTCTTATTATTAGCCAAGAGTTGGATTAATTAGCAACCTATCCTTGGAAGCTTGGACGAGTAAGGGTTAAAACCCCATTTAGGGTCTGTTTGGTTGTATTTAGTGTATCTTTTGCTTTTTAATACTATTTATGTTTATAAGTTTAAACTTTTTCTTTAAAAACTTACATTTCATTCTTCCTCCAACCCCTTACCCCGCCATATTTCTCAGCAAAATCTTGCTTCCTCCCTCGAATTTTACATCTCCACTCTCCAAATCTGATCCGTTGTTCACTCAAAATTTCTTCGGCTAGTTTGATCCTGGTTTCTGCGATTTTGAAACAAAAGCTTGAATCGATCCTTTCCAGTAAGTGTCTACAATTTCAGGGGTTTCAGCTTCTTAGTGGTTAGGGCTTTGGTTTCTCGATCTTTCGTTTCTACTTTGAATCGATCCTTTCTAGGAAGTTTCTCCAATTTCAGGTTTTCAGCGACACGAATCGATTCATTTCGGGTACTAAATCACCAGGTGACAGCGAATTTGTCTTCCCAGAGACGGAATGCAAAGCCAAAGCGTAATGATTCTGTGGTTCCTCTGTGGCAACAACCGTTGCCCTGGGTAAGCTAATCTTTTACTTTAATTAGTTTTTTATTATATATATTTTTTGAATTTGCTTGTTTTGGTTTGGTTTGACTTAATTGGATGGAATATGTGATGGATTTGTAGAAGTGTTCAAGAAAGTAACTTGGGGGAGCTTGAAAAATCATCTCCCCCAAGTTACTTGACTGATTTTGGTGTCACTAAAGGCTATTTTATTTTACTTTTGGGTGCAACCATTTAATCTGATTTTTCTGCACTATATGAGCACTGTTAGTTGCTGTTTTGGTGCTCTCATCTTGCCCTGTTCTTGCACATGAATTATGCCATGTTTCATCATGTTTTATTTACTGAAAATATGCCATGAACCATGTATTTTTCTGCACTCTTCCTACACAGTTTTGTGACTCTAATATGCTGATTTTTGCCTCTAGAACTTGAAAGCTACACAGAATGCTGCTATGGAATTTTGATTATTTTCCCCTTTATTGTACATTTGTTTTGGACACTAACTTGCAGTCCATTTTTCCTCATTGGTACAAAATTATGCACTGTTTTTAACTTAAAACTTCACCATTTTGGACTGTGTTGCTTTCATTTTTTCTCATGTGCAAGATGGATGTTTTTCTGATGCCTAATGTCTATTACTATTCTGACTCTTTCTGCTTGATTAGAATTTAGTGATAATTCTTGATTGTGAAAGGAAGAGTAATCAGAAATGTTCAAAACGTGTTTAGGAATGCTTAAGTGAAGGAACTAGACAAGTTATTATTTCAAGCATTTTTATTTTCCAGTTACTGCTTTAATTCTTGTTTTAATGATGGGCATTTTTTCATGATAATTGTGCCTTAATTATAAATTGTCACCTAAAGAAAGGATTAATGATATCTTGTTTGTAATCATCAGTATGATATGAAGATCACTACCAAGTGATCTTGTACCACAGGGACCGCATTGAACACTAGGGAAATTAATAGGACTTGCTATTTACGTTGCGCAGAAAAAAAAGTAGGACTACTTAAATTAGCAAAATTTCTTACACAACAATACTGACAACTTTGATTTCAAGCCCAACGGTGTGTTTTGGAGAAATTCATTTTTTTTTTAAAAGATCAGCTTTTAACTTTTTCATTGTCCAGAATTTATTTCCATCAAGACTCATTTTCTAAAGGGTTTCCCAACATTGTAACATCATAGAACTAGTAGTATAATAATTAAATATAGGAGTAATCTTCATTTTTTATTAGGCATAGTTCTATTTTTAGATCTAACTAGTTTTGGAATATATTTTTTCTATAGCTTTGAAGAATAATTGATTAGCAAGCTAAAATGGAAGAGTGGTTTCTACTATACTTAGAAATTTGAAATCGGTGAGTGTATTGACCGGATGCCCTGAGAGTGAACTTTTGCAAGGCAGATAATCCCTTTTATCTTTGTTAAAGGTAAAGGAGTGATTATTTTCTGTGCCCTTCAATTAACAGTTAAGTACTTCAATTAATGTGCAACTAAATTTGATCATGAGTTGGATCCATAGGAGAGATGGGGACATTTCCATAGCACACCAACTGGAAAAGATTGGTGTTCCTTTTGACTTTTATTGGTTTTTCTGTTATTCTTTGCATAATACTAAATTCTTAGACCCTGTTTCATCTTCTCTCAGGTATGTACAGACCTGATTTGTCTTCTTCTCAAGATGGATGATCTGTCACGGTTAGTATACAATGAAAATATAGTTTGCGGGATGAGCACAGTCAATCAAATAGTGACAATTGGTTATTCTACTATTAAGTAGAGAGAAAATACTTTGTTAAGTGGTCATTATATTAAAAAAATTTGAATTCTGCAAATAATTTACTGAAAAAGGTAGCTTCTTGGCCTCTTCTTTATGCCAGGTTAAAAACATACTTGAGAAGCACAGGATAGTTTGCAATTTTTGCTAATTATATTGATTAAGAGACTGCTAATACAGGATTGCTGTTTTGAAGGTATCCAATACTCCAAATATGGCCAAGTGATGGACCTCTTGTTATCACAAATACAGGTATCTCATCTTAGAGAACTCTGTTCAAGCTTGAGCACTGTACACTATTTATCTTTGAAGAGTTGACACTGACTCACTTTCTTTATTTGTTTTGTTTAGGGGCAACTCTGAGTTCCTTCCACTTCAGTTATGGCTAAATGGACGGGCGTGGAAAATTAAGAGATTTAATTTTTCCGTAGGAATGGCCCAAACAGGTAGATATCGAAGAATGGGTTTGATGCAGTTTGATTTTCGTTTGGGCTGGGCTTACAAAAAAGCCTTAGTTGACGTACTTCAAAAGTCGACGCTTCTGTTCCCCACCAATGGGCATGAGCCATACACAACCCGGTTCAATCCCGGGATCATGATTCGTGAACGGATGAACCCATTTAGAGCATGTACAATGGTGGTGCTTTATTTGCTTGTTCTTGTCTCAAAATAAAATAGGTGAACTTTATAATTCACCTTTTTCATCAATCAAGGAGAGGTTTTAATTTGACTTTCCATTACAACAACTTTGATTGAAAATTTTAAATTTGTTACAGGTCAAACAGTTGCAATGCAGTGATCCCTCAAGACAAGCTTAAATTTTGCTTTATTTAATGAATACCTCTAATATAGCGGCATCATTAAAGTTACTTAATTGCACTTTTGTGTTCGGATTCAGTAGTGTTAAGTTACATTTAAAATGCATCTTTTTCTTTTTAATAATTTAAATTTAACCCCTTATAAATTTGTTAAAAAAAAAAATAGAGTTAATCAACGAGGCAAGAGAAAGAAAGCTGCAGCAAAGGTGTATAGTTATAAAAATCCTTTTTTAAATTAGTTTGTTGGGTTTGATGTAGACTTGAGAAAAATTCATTCGATTCATCAACTCGTTATTAATTTGATTCATAAAAAATAAGTTAGGGTTTACATATTTCAATTTGTAATTTGTAAATAATTCGTATTATCAACTTGTATAGGTCATGGGTCGAGTTAAGATCAACCTGTGGATTGATAAATTGATCCGTTTATTTTATTTTTTATTATTATTTTTAAATATTATACTTATTATCCTTAATTAATTTTTCTATTAGTAACTCTTTCCATTAATTCATACTCCTTAATTTTTAGAGAAAAAAAAAATTATGATAAGTTTGATCTAATTACTCAAGTATTTTTTTTTTTTGGCATTAAGAATTACCTAAATATCATGAAGGAAATGATAATGCAACTAAAAATATTAAAAGATGTGATGTTATGATATAAACATAATAACTTAGTGAAAGATGTTTTTGGAAGAGCAATTTCATCATTAAAAAAATTGATTAAACTACTTGATAATATTTCAAGATGATTATAAAATTAAAATTTTATTTTTAAAAAAATTTAAATATTTTACGTTTAATATTTTTATTGTTAATCAATTTATTATTATTTATATTTTTTTTCTTAATTTAAATGTTTGTAATTGAAACTATAAAATATTTAGTGTTAATAAATCACAATATTTTCATTAAATTTAGATATATATATAATTTTATTTATATATAATAAAATTAACAAAAAATAATTATAAAAAATAAAAATAAAGTCAACTCAGAAATTAACACATAACTTATTAAAATCAAATTAAAGTTAAATTTTTTTAATTCATAACTCATTTATAACCAAACTCATATAATTCCTCACTTGAATTGATTCAATCCGAAACCGACCTCACCCGCCCATGTGTCAGGTTTAGTTTGATGTTTTAATGCTAGGTGGGTAGACCAAACGCTCTCTCCTTCCACGTGCTCCACAGCCTCCACCCGTCTCGCATTTATTACCTTCTTAACTCCTAGAATAGAACACAAGCCCACGTTTTTCATCAATCAAGGAGAGGTTTTAATTTGACTTTCCATTGCACCGACTTTGATTAAAAATTTTAAATTTGTTACAAGTCAAACAGTAGCAATGCAGTGATCCCTCAAGACAAGCTTAAATTTTGCTTTATTCAATGAATACTTCTAATATAGCGGCATCATTAAAGTTACTTAATTGCACTTGCGTGTTCGGATTCAGTAGTGTTAAGTTACATTTAAAATGTTTTTTTTTTAATGATTTAAATTTAACTTTTTATAAATTTGTTTTAAAAAAAAATAAAGTTACTCAACCAACGAGGCAAGAGAAAGAAAGCTGCAGCAAACGTGTCTAGTTATGAAAATCCTTTTTTAAATTAGTATGTTGGGTTTGATGTAGACTTGATAAAAGTTTATCCGGTTCGTCAACTTAATATTAATTTGATCAGTAAAAAATAAGTGAGGGTTTTTATATCTCGACCTTTAATACGTAGATAATTTGTATTATCAATTTATATAAGTTATGGGTTGAGTTAAGATCAACTCACAAATTGATAGGTTGATTTGTTTATTTTATTTTTTATTATTATTTTTAAATATTATACTTATTATCTTTAATTAATTTTTTTATTGATAAATCTTTCCATTAATTCAAACTCCCTAATTTCTAGAGAAAGAAGAAAAAATTATGATAAGTTTGATCTAATTATTCAAGTATTATTTTTTTTTGGCATTAACAATTACTTAAATATCATGAATGAAATAATAATACAACTAAAAATATTAAAAAATGTGATGTTATGACATAAACATAATAATTTAGTGAAAGATGTTCTTAAAAAAGCAATTCATCATTAAAAAAATTGATTAAACTACTTGATAATATTTCAAGATTATTATAAAATTAAAATTTTATTTTTCAAAAAATTTAAAT